AGTATTCCTTATTCCAGATGAAGAGATGCTGTCATGGTATACCCTGTCCTGTCATTCTGTGTGAGTTTGAGCTGAGACATTGCACTGCATTTTGCTGAATTTATTTGCATTTCTTGCTTTTTAATGCTCAGATGAGCTGACTGATTTTAAAATCAAATACAAGAACCTCTCAACCTGTTAGCATTTCATAACATGAGTCAACAAATAGCAATCAAAACGTATTCCTCATTAACAAGGAAATTCCAAGCCTGGTTGCTGGCAACATAAATAACTGCAAGATGCCATGAAAAAAGAAATGCCTACATTTAGTTACATGTGTTTTCCCATAGTAAACCAGCACCACCACTTCTAACTCATTCAGAGTTAGAAGTTTCTATCATTAACCAGCAATTAAACATGCAGCTTAAGTTCAAAGCTCAGGTCAAGTCTTGTGCTATTGACCTTACACCAAATAAAATTTTACCCCTCTATGAAGATAATTCAGAAAAAGCTACACCTTCCTAAGGATTTCATTCATACCTTCTTTCACATTATGCATGGGCACATATGTAAGGCAATCTCAGTAATTTAGCGGCTCTACAAAATTCAAACAGTACTTTACAGGGCACATTGAAGGAACTGCAACAGGGATGTATTTTTGTGTTTTCAAATTCCCCACTATCTTTAACAGCAAAATCAAAAGATGGGAAGAGCACTTAGAGACCAAAGGGTTTTTCTCAGAGCCCTCAGTGACCTGTCCATTCCTAATGAACCAAAGTAGATCCAAAAGTACTCTATAGACAGTACCCTACTTAGTGGAATGGCAGGACCTGTGATTATGGATAACCTTGCTCATGGCAGTGATAATGTTAATGGCAATAGAGAGATAACTGATGGAGGACATCAACCAGACTGTGTGATGGCAGCACCTCCTGTTGGTGATAATCACCTTATCAGAGAAGCTGCTGCTGGCCATCTCAAGTGACTCTGCAGGTGAGAAAGAGAAGTTTCAGCTACAGGACACTGAAGTTGAAATGGCAGAGGAAGGCAGCAGCTCCTTATGTTTCTTAAGAGATGCATCTGTGATTCATGTGCTATGGGGAGTTATTACCAGCACTAAAGTGCACAAGACAGGCCTTCACAAGGTCCCCACAGGTCTTTCAATCGCACACGATTCTGTAAGATAAATTTGGGTATTCTTCTGTATCAGAAAAAAACCACCAAGCATTTAGAGGCAGGTACCTCACCAAAGCAGGGAGAATCACAGATTCATCAAATTATTAATATTGGAAAATACCTCCAAGATCTTAAAATTATTTTTGACTGAATACCACCATGCCCCTTAAAGTGTATAATGAAGTGCCATGTCTACTTGTTTTCTGAATACTTCCAAGGATGGTGACTTCTCTATTTCCCTGGGGAGCCTTTTCCAATGCTTAACTTCCCTTTCAGCAAAGCAACTTTTCCTAATATCCAACCTAATCCTCTCCTGGCACACTTTGAGGTCATTTCCCCAGGTCTGTGAGAAGAGACCCCCACCTTGCCACAACCTTTCATGGAACTGTAGAGAGCAATAAGGTCTCCCCTGAGCCTCCATTTCTCCACTGAACACCCAAAACTCCCTCAGCTGCTCCTCATAGGATTTATGCTCTAGACCCTTCACGAGCTTCATTACCCTTCCCTGGAAGGGCACATATTCCCCCACGGCTGAGCTGCAATGTGGAACTCAGTGTTCCTCAGTGCACACAATATAGGAATGGTCAGGGTGCTGTACTGACATCCTCAACAGCAATTCCAGGTTTTTCAGTTTGCTGTGGAGCAGATGAAACACAGCAGTGGGGTCCCAGAACTGGACAGGGCAATTGAAAGGAGCTCCAATGGCATTTTGAGTGCTCCAGTCCTGTACTCCGTGTATGCCTAAGTCCTGACTAATACTGTATGTGCAATGCTTGCACTGCTACTTGAAGATGAACATCCTTCTTTCTGATACGAAGGCAGGTCTGTGAAATAGGACAGGCATGTGGACCAGCCAGTAATACACCCATTAAAGTAAATCTGCAATGACTAATGACCTGCTGAATCAAACTGAAATTGCTTCAATAGACTGAGAAATGTAAGTAAAATACACAACAGGGATTATATCTGCCAGCAGTAATGAAGGCACTCCATCATCATTTGCTAAGAGACTTAAAAATGTGCACATCTGTAAAAATACACACACCTTATAAAGAAAATGCTAATGGTAAAATTTGTCTATTCTTTATGGACTGTAATTTTTATTTACTGCTCAGTTGCCTGCAGCCTAGGCTAGGGATTTATTAATTTCTTCTTGTTGCTGTCTTTATTTGTTTAAATGGATATATTGTTAAAGAAACTCTGTATTTATCCCTGTGTAATAGTCACAAGCAATAGCACTTAGGGCCATCTCAGTCATTTGTTTTCTGTCATCACAATACAGGGTTAATTGCTGAGAACAAAGTTATCTTCTGGTAGTTCTGCCCCACCTGAATGATCCACAACAGCTGTGTGCCTCATTTAGCTGGCAGGTTAAACTGACTGTAGGACTAATTGAGCAGAATTCTTGCTAGGCTCCTGTTTATCTGACCCAATACATACAGTATCAAGGTTGTGTAAATACGGAGATGCATCAGCTGTGCTAGATGGATTTATATACAAAATGCCTGCTTCCTAAAGTGCTGAAGAGATTGTAGTTACAAGCAATTTAGAATTATCTCTTTGTCAGGTCAATTAGAAAGAAAAAATAAGACTCAGAGGATCACATTAGCATTTTTTTTAATTCTCAATTTAAGAATTAATATACAGATCTTGATGTTGACTACAGGTCACACAACCCTCTCCCCCTTTTCCAGGCAGTAAAAGAGAGTTTATAGTCAACTTCATATTCACCTATATGAAAACAGAGCAGAAAAAAGTACACAGGATCTGACAGCATCCCACTAAATAGAAGAGAAAATGGTACAACATGTCAGGAAGTAGCTTAGGAAGATAACCTCCATCAAGGAGGTATTCAGGCATGTAACAGAGGCAAGGAATCTCGACAGCCTTTTTTCTGCACTGGCTCTTTTCAGTCTGCTCACTGAAAAACGTCTCACAGAAGGACCCTCAACCTTATATTTAGATTCAAATTCAACTTAGAAAAGCTCATCTCTTGTCTTTTATCATGGAAGATGAATGAGTTTAAAGCATGAACAAAATACCTTCCAATGAACACTGTTAACAGGTGCATTAGTATACATTACGTGTGCATGTAATTTTCAGGTGAGTCTCACTCAATAGCTCTTAAGTAATACAGAGGTTCTGTATTTGATTTCTTGGAATTTAGACTGGTGCATCTGTATTAAAGACAACACTTTTTTAAAAAGTCAATGCACACACAAACTACTTGCTCTTTCTACTTCTATATCACCAATGGATATTTTTTTTAAAATGTATGTAAAAATGTATTTTTTTAAAATGTAGTATGTACCATTTCTGTATGCATGTGAGTGCACACACAGATAAACATTTATTACTCTGGCCAGAAGTTTCGCAGTTAGATAAATCATTAATCATAACACAGAAATACTGTAGTTCCTCTTACAGAAAGGGAAATTCCTTTAAACTAAATTGTTTATTATATTAACTACAATTAAAGCTTATTGTTACATGCATGTACTACAACTTCCAAATTTGTCCCCTGAATTGTTCCCTTTCATTGTATCACCTGTGCATGTATTCACAATAAAATTGTGGTCTTCTGTGTGGGTGGGAATGACTGATGTAAAAAGCCTGTTTTCAGTCTACAATGAATAATCAACTAACTTCTTCAACAGATGCAAATGTTAAAGTAGCAGCATGCAGATAATATTGTCTCCAAGTAAATTTTCTAAATACTAATCTAAATTTAAATTTCTAAATACTACCAAAGAGGTTTACTGGGTCACTTACTCCTTTGTGGCACTTCAATAAAATAAGTCCCAAACTAGCACTGCATCTTAAATATCCTATAGCACCTCAAGAGTGGTCCATGTAAACCTGTTTCAAAAGTCGTGCCTGTCCCACCTGTGCACAGGAACACTCCCTACCAGAGCAAAGAAGATTCAGACCCACACATCCAAATGCCTGCTCAAACTGAACAGCAGCATCTGTAGGTAGTACAGTTATAAGAAAATTCATATCACATGCTACAAACATGATTTCTAGGCACATCCACCCACTCAGTTACATGGAACACACTCTGTATGGGCAGCAGTGAGGAGCCTCACCTACTCCTTGGCTCACAGTTTTAAGGAATAACTCCACAGAGGAGATCTAAATGCAACACAGTTGAAGGAGGAAAACCCCTGCTTTTTAGAAGATGCAGTTCACTATTAATAAATAATATAACCATCTAAAACAAGTATCATAAACTGCAAACATAAACTGTAAATTTATCATTCCCAGAAATATATGCTGCAAATGTAGCTTGGCTAACTTAAGACCAAATTCTTATTTGTACACAAAGCCATTGCAAAGTACAGAAATATCCTCTGGTACCTGAAAAATAGAAACTATTGAAATAATGTCTACCATACACAACATTCATCAGTTCCAAATAAAAGAAAGCTTATTTTGTTTTTAGAGAAGAACTCTCACCAATACTGTATTACAGAGAGCTGACAGCTGCAATACATTTAGCTAAGGAAAATAAACTGAGCTAAAGCACTTTCCCTACAGTACCTGTTTGAACTATTTGGAATACAACTCCTAACATTAACTACAAACAGCTACATAATTCAAACAGAAAATAGGTAGGAGCTTCTAAGAGACTTCAAACTTTTACAACAACAGTCTAACAGACAAGAAGTAAAAGAATGTAAGAGTGTTTTACTAAGTATTTTTGAGCAAGTCACAAACTAACATCATGGAGAGAATGTTGCATGATCTGCTCAATTAAAAATCATCATACTTATCTAACCACAAAATTTATTTTATTTTGAGAAACAGGAATAATTCTTTGGGTACGCAGAGTTAGTACTTACGGGTAAAATGATTGGAAGTGGACGGATTGACACTATCACCACTGTCAGCACTTTCACTGCTGGAAATGTCATCATCTGATTCCCTCACAGAGGAACAAGGTGAGGAGCCATCAACTTCTTCAAACTTCCTCTTTAAAATTCCACTCATTGCTGCGATGCTGTCACATGTACCTGTAACAGGAACAGAGGCAATGAGGCACTGAAACATCCAGCTGCAGAATATGCAATCATAAACTCCAAAGTAATTTTTATTTCAAGATAGCAGTAAATTGCCACTTCTAGTCTTGAATAATCATTTAATATGAAATTACACATGACTAATTAGGAGAAGCCATAGAGAAAAAAAAATCTGAAGTCCTACTCTAACTTGACATGTATGGAGGCGATTATTTCACTAGAATAATCTGTAACAGATTGCTTTCAGGGAGTATTTTCCCCACTCTGTCAACAGCATCCCTATCTTCTTCTAGTTTCTGTTGTGAAATTTCAAACCAAGAAAAAAATGACAGACCTGGTCCCTCCTTTGGCTGCCACAGGAGGAAGGAAAGCTCACAATCGGGGATGAAATTAAGAAGAAATCATCCTGAACACTATAGTTCACAATGCTAAATATAAGTGATGTAACCAGTGTTCACACCACCCTTTAAGAGTTTCATCTGATAATTCCAATATTACAGACAGATAAAAGACAGTGAAGGCACAAAGACCACATATAAATTTGTGCTCAATAAACACCTGGAGTTCTGAAGTTACCCACACCAGTTAAAGACACCAACTGTCTCTCAAACATTCTCCTCTCCCAGTTACCTGGTCTATGAAAGGCAGGCCACCCTTGACTAAGCTCATCTCCTCCTATTACAAGGTGACCTGCCTAGTGCTAGAGGCAAAGACTGGGGATGTTGTCTTCCTGGACTTTACTAAAGCCTTTGACAACGTTTCCCACAGCATCCTCATGGAGAAACTGAGTGCTTACGTCTTGGATGGGTGTAAAAACTAGCTGGCTGGATGGCCCAGAGAGTGCTGGGGAATGGAATTAAATCCACTTGGTGGCTGGTCACTAGTAGTGTTTCCCAGGGCTCTGCTGATGCCAGTCCTGTTTAAATATCTTTATCAGTGATCTGGACAAGGGGATCAAGCGTCCATCCCCTCAGTCAGTTTGCAGATTACAGTAAATTGGGCATGAGTCCAAAGAAGGGCAAGGAAGCTGGTGAAGGTCTAGAAAGTGACTCACATGAGAAGCAGCTGAGAGAGCTGGGACTGTTCAATCTGGAGAAAAGAAGACTTGGGGAGGACCTCATCACTCTCTAAAACTCCCTGTAAGGACTTTTTAGCCAGCTGGGGGCTGGCCTCTTTTTCCAGGTAACAAGGACAAGAGGAAATGGCCTCAAGCTATGCTGGGGAGGTTTAGATTGGGTATTGGGAAAGATTTCCTCAACATAAGGGTGGTCAAGCATGGGAATGGGCTGCCCAGGGAATTCACCAGCCCTGCAGGTACTTAAAAGATGTGTAGATGTGGCACTTGGGTACATTGTTTAGAGGTGGACTGGTCAGGTTAATGGTTGAACTCAATGATCTTTGAGGGATTTTCCAACCTAAATTATTCTGTGATACCAAAATTAAGAAATGAAATGCCTAATATATTCCTGATGTTAAGTAGAATATTATAAAACTACGTATTCATTTAGCAGCATGTTCTGGTTCCAGCCAGGACAGGGTTAATTTTTTGCAATAGCCCAGAGGGGGCATGGCCAGGACACCAAGGTTATTCTGTACCACCTCACATCATTACTGGGGGCAGGGGGAAGGGAGTCTTTTCTGGGGAGCAGAAGTTCCTTATGGCTCCAATTCCACGGCAGAGAGAGCTGGTGTTGTCTGTTGTGGGTTTCCACAGTGAGCAGTAACATTTCTTTTCTGGTACTCTCTGTCATGAATATTGTTGCCCTTACTGTCCCTCTCCTTATCTCATTGCCATTTCCAGTAAATTGTTCTTATCTGAACCCACCATCTTCACCTTTTTTGCCTCCTATTCTCCTCTCCAGCCACTGCAGGGGGGGAGGGAGAGTGAGTGAGTTTGGAGAGTTTCTGTGGGAGCACTAGCCTGGGGAGTGCTCCCCTAAACACCATGACACAGCAGAGGCAGAAATATTGCATGTAATTAACTAGCTGAGGAGAGATCAAGAACAGCTGGAGCCTGCCCAGGGGACACACAGCTGCCACCATCCTGCCTGCAGCACTGCAAAGACAAGTGCTCCTAACACTTATCCAGGCAAAAAGTTTGTCTGGGATTGATGACACACTGTACTCATCAGGGACACCCAACCCAGCACTTAGGACTTGACAAAGGCTTCTACCCAATCCCACTGAAAGCAAGAAAAATAAAAAATTCATTTACACTGCTCATGAAACAGAACTATTAAAATCTCTACAGCTACCTTTAGGATTCCTTAATTCTGGACCAGCCACATTCTGCTCCTTCCTGGAAGCTGAACTAGATACCCTCCAGAACTCCCTTCCCACCAATCTTTTGATGGCTCTGTGTTTAAAACCCCAATATATCTGTGAGGAAGCTTGCATAAGCTGGGCTAAGTGGCCACTAAAGAAGACAAGGTTAAAGCAGAGACTCCAGTACTGGCCAAAAATGTTCAACAATTAGCACATTTCAGGGCTTTGGCTCAGGCCACCTCTCGCTCTCCTGGATTATGCAGGATGAAGCAGGTGCCAGAACCATTCCCAGCAGGCAGGCTGGATGAAGGTACCTGGGTTTTGGCAGAGGCCTGACAGCTCAACCATTGTGGACAAGAGCTGTGTCCTGCCACTTGGCAGCAGCAGCCAGAGAATGCTGTCCCTAGCCCATGTCTGTCTTATCTTTTCAATTAGTACAGAGGCAGTCTCAGGGATGTAGCTGCTGTGCTCTGACCCTGCAAGCACAGCCCTTCAGCAGTTAGAACTCTGCTATCTTTGCTCACACTTGGCCTCATACTAAGTAGTTTCAATGTCTCCTGTGTATTCTACAGCTCCCTTAAAGCCCCAACACCAGTTTCTTTCCTGGAAAAAACAAAGCAACAGTGTGAAGAGAATTGCAACCTTTCAGCATGGTATGAAGTCATGGCAAGATAAAGGTGGGCATATGATAATGAGAACTACAAAAAAAAAAAAAAAAGAGGAAAAAGTAAAACAAAACAAAACAAAACAACAACAAAAAAACCCAAACAAAAACAAACAAACCAACAAACAAAAAAACCCAAAGAAAAAGTAGGACTCACCATCTTACAGAGTCTGTGAGACTAATTCCAGATCATAATTCCACAAACACTGAAACCTGTCTATACGAAATTCATGGGTTTAGGTGGCAAGGGCACAGTGGTTTCTTCCCAGTGCAAAGAAGTTTAGCTCTAATTACTTGTTTTGCTTTGCTGACAAAGCATTTTACTTTGCCTGCCAGCTCCTAAGCACAGCAGGAGGAACTTATGAGCAGGTTTAAACTTGCCTTTGTAAGTCAAAACTTGAAATTGCATATACATTATACAACATTTTAATGATATTATTAAATTGCAAGGATTAGAACAGAAGTTTTATAATAAGGGAGTTCATTCACTTCTTGAGAATCAAAAGCTCTAAAAAACACACATGAGATTGTACCAAGTTTAATATCCTGTCTCCAGCAGTAGTCACTATTTAATGCTTCAATGGAAAGCAATGGGATGCAAAATCCTGCCAAACAACTGCAGATACATAGCTCTGCTTCCTCATCCTTACAGCCAATTTCCCCTAAGCATGATACTTGAAATCTTGCTATATGACAGTGCCCAGCCTCTTAGAAATTCACTTCACTTGGTCTCCTGAGGCAACAAGTTTCTTATTAGTTTTCTGTGAGAAGAAAAAAACCACAACAAAACACATCTTCTGAAACTATATCCACACCCCCTTCAAAATCACTGCAGTTTCAATCTCTACAATATTTTGGACAGTAAGCAGCAGGAAGGCAGGAGTGGCCAGCAGAATGCTGTACTAGACAGAACTACACAGGTACCTGCACGAAGTGGGGACAGCTGAGGAGAAGTCACTGACATCTTGTTGCTGTATTACAGCAGTATTTCCATTTCAGTAGGGATTACATGACATGGGAAGTAGAGTGCATCTGCTGATCCTGTACAGAATCAGGAAACACCTTTATATTTGGGGGGTGTGCAGGGAGGGGACAGTGATGGAGACACAAATGGAACTGCACATTAAGTCCTGCATCCCCAAGCTGGGGCAGCTGTCCAATGGCTGCAGCTGCTGGAAAGCACCTGGCATGCTCCTGCCAACACTCCCAACCTCAGCTGTGCAACCCTTCACAGCCTGCCTGCCCCTGGGGAGCTCCCCAAAGCCACACAGCCTCTTGCTGACACTGCTCCTCTTTTAATGTGGGAACTAAAGCATTCATCAGCAAGAAAAAGGAAGAGAAAATGAGCAAGAAACCGTGCAGGTCTGAAACACTTGAGCACTTGTTTACTATTCAGATTCTTCAAATTCTGAGTTAATAATCCCCAGAAAAAGATGCAGAATTCCATCAGAAGGTGTAGCTCATGAGAATAATGTAGAGGGAGCACTGGTCCCCAATACAGCCAACACATGCCTGGTCTTGGAACTGGTGCTATATTTCCTAGGGCTACAAAACAAGAACAGAGGGAGTGATATGCCATCTCAACAGGTACACTTTGACACCTCACAGCTACAGCTGTGTCCCCCCTGCAAGAGCACAAGGACATATAAACGGCTGATTATTGCCTGCTGACAGTGAAAGCAACAGCTGCTTTCACTGGAGTAACCAAAAACTTTGAAATTACTCCAATGTCCTTGTCGGTCGTCCCTCAGACCAAAACCCCCTTCCTAGAAGGCTCTGCCAATCTGTCACCAAATTGTCTTCTTCAAAGGCATGTGAGCTTTTCCAGGGTCTCACTTTCAAGTTCCCCTAACATAAAGGCACTTCTGCACATCCCCAAAGTTACAGAGATTTGAGATATCTGAATCTGTTGAGGTCTCTCTGGGAGCCTGAAACTTCATGTTCTTCCAAGTAAGGTGTCCAAGAACAAAAGGAAAATCTGTTATGAGTGCAAAGCATGTTGAGAAGGAGAAGGGACAGAAAGGCTGGGCAGACCCAAACCCATGAGCAATTGTTTATGTACCCA